AATGACAACAATGGGTGGTGGGGATCTCTCGGGTACTGACAGGTGTTGTGATGTCAAGCGAGGAAATACAAAGATATGGTAAATGTGGTGGTCGTTTCTCTTAAAGTACACGTAGGTGGTGAACGTACGAGCTGGCTGTAGTGAGGGAGACAAACACAGTTTAACAGAACCGCTCAAAGATTGTGACACCTAGTAATTGATCCGCGAACTTTGTGAAATTAAGTCGCAGTAAAAAATTTAAAAAAGAAAGAAAGAAAAAGAAATCGAATCTTTGAAAATGATGAGTCCATGCCGCCTACGGTGAGAGAGATACAACAACTGTTTGAGAAGTCCAAACGTCCCTGAAACGTTGATAGTGTTTCTTATTGTAAACAAATTGTGGTGAACAAAATACAACCTGTACCAGTAACCGTCAGTCACAGCTGCTAATCTATCTGTGTGTTTTTGGGTTGTTGTTTTTTTACTTAATAATAATAATAATAATAATAATAATAATAATAGATAGCGTGTGTATACCGCAAATCCCCGCTCAACAGCAAGATCTATGAGCTGCACAATCTATACTATTACCCCAGCAGACCTGGAAAAAAGACAACTTGTCAGAAACAAGATAAAGCATCTCTAAGGCCTAAGTGCTCTCGGTGACGTGAGCTCCTGTTGATTACGTCATCCGGGGATTTCGCTAAGAAGATTAGGACCTAGAGAACCGCGGAGTTGTAACCTCAAGTGTCTGTCGTTGTCCATCGACCTTAAGTATCCGCAGACTTATGCTCTGGGATCACGCATTGTCATGGCCGATCCTCCCCGCTCTCTACAAAAATCGTCTTTTTGAAGAGAAATAAAAGAAATGAGTTTCCTAACGTGTTGTAGTTTCATCCAGTGAAGTCAGCTCTGGCGGAGAAACGTTTGCCCCAATTTGAGCATTGGAAAGTGTTATTACCACTTCGTCATCGTCACTCACCATTGTCGTGTTTTCAGTAGAGGCAAAAGTTTGACTCAGGGCATTATCTTTATAATTATACACAATGTTTAATTCGTCTAAATAGTGTTGCTGTAGAAAGAAGAGGATTGAAGCTTGGGCCAATCTATGCGTCCTATCAAACGCTACAGCATACTTGATTCCCCCCC